GAGCACTGCGAGCTCTAGCGTTATTTACATTATCTTCTCCATAAACTCATCAAATGTTCGGCTCACTGATGACTTTGTACGTGGAGTATATCGATGGCTGAGTGGAAGATCGACCTATCTCGGCAGCCAGCTCGAAAACGCTCTATCTCAAAAAACTTTTCAAGAACGCCCTATTTCAGAATTTAATTGAAAAACACCCTATCTCAAAATTCGGTTCAAAAACGCCCTATCTCACTTCAAAATGTATTGAAAATATGTGATATAGGGCGTTTTTGAATCGGCAGCTGAGATAGGGCGTTTTGGAAACGAATTCTGAAATAGGGCGTTCTTGAAAGGTTTTTTGAGATAGAGCGTTTTCGAACTGGCTGCCGAGATAGGTCAATCTTCCTCTCAGCCATCGATATGTAAAATAGTTTATTTGTGTTAATGGCATCATTTTTATTTTTATTGCTCCGAGTTTTAAAGTAAGTCGAAAAATATTTATCAAATTTTTAAAACACAAAACTTAAAACATCAAAACGGCCAAGCTTTTTACGCCAAACTTTTAATTCAGAAACTGACAATAGAGAAAAGACCGAGTTTAAAAAAATCGATGACAAATAAGCAAGCAAGCAAGAAACACAAAAAGTGTTCCACTGTCTCATCTTCTTCAAGGCAAGATGGGCAAATGGACTTTTCATTTACGCCTATCACAGTCAGGTGTTTGTGCCACGTGAAGTGACCAGTCAGCAGTCCAGCAAGTTGTCTGCAGTGTCGTCTGCTTAGTGAGAGCAAAAAATTAGATAGACCTCGTGAGATTGAAGGCAACATGAGTTTTGCCCACCTGCATCCCCTCGATGCCTCTCAGTCATTTCTGAGCGAAGTATTCACCCAGATTCTGATTTTGGCTTCGATTGCCGAAGGCGGGAATGCTAAAACTGGTTGCGGACCGGGAATGCCTGGTCTGAGCCTACTCTGGCCAAATGATCAGATGTCTCATAACCAGGTGCTACAGAGTGACCTNATTGGAAAAGGAGGCGTGGCACCTACCGTACAAGCCGATATATATGAAATTAATCCCATACTCATTGAGAAAAATGGGCTCTTTAAAAAGGGGGCGTGGAAAAGTACAAACGTACTGACTTTTACTTATCTTTGAATGAGTGTATAATTCTTCTGTAGGTATATTTGTGAGTGAAATCCTAAATGGCTGGAGGGATTTTAACAAGGTTTAGTGTGTGTGTGAGTGGGTCTCTGGATAGTTTAGTTCAGAGGTTCCCAAACTTTTTTTTCTCGTAGACCCCTTTCAAAAATTTACTGGTTTCGGTTGACCCCCTGCTGATACATTTCTAAATATTCCCAAAACTCGTAAAAAAATTAAATGTGAAAATTAGAACTAACAATGTAAATTTGCATCGCGGGTGAATTCAAAAACTAAACTCAGAGTGGCCAAAATATAAGTAAAATATTTTCTTGTGTTCTCGGAAGAGTTATATTTTTTAAGAGCACTGCGAGCTCTAGCGTTATTTACATTATCTTCTCCATAAACTCATCAAATGTTCGGCTCACTGATGACTTTGTACGTGGAGTATATCGATGGCTGAGTGGAAGATCGACCTATCTCGGCAGCCAGCTCGAAAACGCTCTATCTCAAAAAACTTTTCAAGAACGCCCTATTTCAGAATTTAATTGAAAAACACCCTATCTCAAAATTCGGTTCAAAAACGCCCTATCTCACTTCAAAATGTATTGAAAATATGTGATATAGGGCGTTTTTGAATCGGCAGCTGAGATAGGGCGTTTTGGAAACGAATTCTGAAATAGGGCGTTCTTGAAAGGTTTTTTGAGATAGAGCGTTTTCGAACTGGCTGCCGAGATAGGTCAATCTTCCTCTCAGCCATCGATATGTAAAATAGTTTATTTGTGTTAATGGCATCATTTTTATTTTTATTGCTCCGAGTTTTAAAGTAAGTCGAAAAATATTTATCAAATTTTTAAAACACAAAACTTAAAACATCAAAACGGCCAAGCTTTTTACGCCAAACTTTTAATTCAGAAACTGACAATAGAGAAAAGACCGAGTTTAAAAAAATCGATGACAAATAAGCAAGCAAGCAAGAAACACAAAAAGTGTTCCACTGTCTCATCTTCTTCAAGGCAAGATGGGCAAATGGACTTTTCATTTACGCCTATCACAGTCAGGTGTTTGTGCCACGTGAAGTGACCAGTCAGCAGTCCAGCAAGTTGTCTGCAGTGTCGTCTGCTTAGTGAGAGCAAAAAATTAGATAGACCTCGTGAGATTGAAGGCAACATGAGTTTTGCCCACCTGCATCCCCTCGATGCCTCTCAGTCATTTCTGAGCGAAGTATTCACCCAGATTCTGATTTTGGCTTCGATTGCCGAAGGCGGGAATGCTAAAACTGGTTGCGGACCGGGAATGCCTGGTCTGAGCCTACTCTGGCCAAATGATCAGATGTCTCATAACCAGGTGCTACAGAGTGACCTGGCACCCAGAGTAAAACAACAATAAACTAAAAAACTAAAAATATTTTTTATGATCCGTTTTGACGAATATTCAAAACATGTATTGGAAACGGTAAAGGCAGTCCAATTGCTAATTATTACTAAAAATAGACAAGTGGGAAAAGGTGCCGTAAATGCCAGACTAAATTGAATTGTTGCACCATTGAGTATATCGAACGGTTGGCCCAATGGATGTGATCTGCCAATATTATTATGCGGTAAAACTTCATCCGAAGAAACCAGGGTTAAGTTGTGCAGTGGTAAATCTCAAATCGCCACCTGTCGAAATACTTTAAAAGCCAGTTTCATGAAAGCAATTTAATGAAAATTTATTTTTTTATTGAATTTAATATAGAACCTGACGGAAAAAATAATTTCTCACTTAAATTGCTTTCGCAAAACTGGCTTTTAAGGTATTTCATCTCAGTTTATATATGTATATTGTATTTCTGTTGAACAAGGATACGCATTCATTTTGAAATTGCCACCAACTATAAGATAAGGTTTCTCGGGCACATTCACCATAGATCCGAATCATTGTTGCCACCAGGGAACTTCTCATGGACATAACACTTTCGTTCGGTTATTTAAGGTGGTAAACGACCACCAAACCATAGTCTTAGCGGATGAATGTGCTGTACAAATCGTAAATGTGGGTTGTTGGAGAAACTGTTGGACCAAAATGTTTAAATTAAAAATCTAATTTTGGGCGGGACGAAGTTCGCCGGGTCTGCTAGTCAATAATATTTGTATTTGCGAAGTCAGCTGTGTGTTCACTTTCTAAAATGTGCTGCGATAATGCTGTACTGCTTTTCTTATGCCCGCTTCATGTTCGCCTAGTCGGACACCTAAAGGCCGCTTCGTTGTTCCGATATACATACACTTTTCCGCATGTTTCAGTTTCTTTTCCTTTGCATTTAATTTCGTAGACTACATTGTTTTGTTGGTGGACATCGACTGAACATTTTGTTTTTGTATATACTGTCGAAAGGGTGCAATTAGATTTAAATGCAAGCGTTGTGTTTTGTGGTTTTGTTATGTTGTGATCAAAGTTATCAGTAAGATTGGGAATGTATGTAACACTGTAGAATTTCTTTGCACTTTTTATCGTTTCCGTACTCGAATTTGTGTTTGGATGGTTGCTGTTTTTTATTGTTTCCTGATTTATGAGTTCGTGTATTAATTTGACAGGATAATTATTGCTTTTTAGGATATTGGTTATTTTCTCTATATTAGTCTCATGGAACTGTGCGTGGCTTATCGTCAGTACTTTGTGGATTCATGTTTTTGCGGTGTTAATTTTATATTTTCTCGGTTGTGATGACAAATAATTTATCAGGCGCCCAGATAAATTATTTTTCATGACAACCGAGAAAATATATACTTCAAAGTATATATTTTTGGAATTTTTTTCTGTGAAGAGCTTACGCATGGCTATGCTCTTATTAAAATTCTTAGTATAAAATTTGTCGACTTTAGTGGCTTCCTGGCGGCATAACTATTTTTTTGGGTCTGTGTAATTCTTTTTAGTGGATAAATTATCTTTAAAAAAATACCAAAAAAGTTCACACTGCGGATAACGAATTTTTCGATTATTGCTCACTTAGGCGGCACTGTGTGACGTCTGATTTTTATAAAGGACTTTGAAATTTCAAACATATGAACAATTCAAAAAAATGATTAATAAGTTCAATGCAATGTACTTAAAAACCCTGTATGGGTATCAAATGAAAGAGAAGATTCTGTAGAGCTAAAACAGATAACATTTTTTGGTGCGTAAGGGACGGGTAGGTATTGAAAATACCCTTTTATAATTTTCTTCGGAGCATCCTTGAAATTTTGCAATTCTTATTTTTGAAAAAATTGTATGTTAAGAACGAACTTTATTAGCATAAAAAAATAAAATAGATTAAAGGCACATTTTAAATTCCTATTCGTCCTATTGAACCCGAAAAATTCTTTCATTTGGTACCCATATTTTTTTTACATTGCACTGAATTTTTTAAATAAGTTTTGGAATTAATCATATCTTTCAAATAATAAAGTCTTTAAAAAAATCATGACGTCAGAGAAATGCCGATTTATATGCAGTTAATTATATGTAATATGAGGTAGACTTTTATAAATAAATGTAAATTTTGAATAAACAAAATGAATATAGACAAAACTGGCCATACTAAGGCGCTTCTTTTATTTCTGCCACTAGTATTATGCACTTCTTTCACCAGAAACAAAATTTTTTTGACTTAATTTTTTTTTGCATCGTTTTGTTACTTATGAAATAATTTTCTCTTTAAATAAAAAAGTACGTTCCAAACCCATTTACTTCTTATATATTATACGGTAGGAGAGCTTCTCAAACCATATTTAGGGTATTCACAGTTTACTTTTAAAGTTAAAAGGTGGCAACTTTAACAAGATAACACATTCGAACTGTGAGCAACCCTTCACACATGTGTTTCAAATTGTCAGTAAAATAAATATAGTCAGATATATACTTAAAAATCTTTCAAATTGCGCCCACCTTATGTTTTTCTGCTTCACTTTCCATTTTTTCTTAGGGCGGATAATCAGCCGATCGGATCGCCCAGTTGTCGAAATTACACAAGTTTTTTCATAGACGTTTTAATTTTGTTTGGCACCAATATTGACTGCTTTATGCGAATGACGATTTATAAGACAACCAGCATACGAAAAGATATATAGGCATTTCAGTTAAAATTAAACCTTTTCAAATTAAATGAAACCATTTTCGAACAAAGCGAAACCTTTTTCAAATTAAATGAAACCGTTTTCAAGACAAGCGAAACAAGAATTTTTAAGAATTTAGAAGAATTTTTAAGAAATTTTAAGAATGTTTCATTTAATTTGAAAAAAGTTTCGTTTAATTTGAATAAAGTTTCATTGAATCTGAAAAAGGTTTTATTTAATTTGAAAAAGGTTTCGCTTTATCTGAAAAGGGTTTCATTTAATTTGAAAATGGTTTCGCTAACCTGAAAAAGGTTTCAATTAATTTGAAAAAGGTTTCACTTAATTTGAAAATGGTTTCATTTAAACTGAAAATGGTATAGATCTCCTTCCCATCTACCTCACTAGTGTTGTTATGTGGAGTGATATATGTACGTAAAAATAATCAACTAATTCTAAGCATATTTTAAATACTTGCAAAAATAAGTTCGACTTAAATTGTATCTGCATACCAAGAAAAACCTATAGCAAATTTACAGGAAAACTAACTATGAACGGCTTGACTAATAATAAATAATAATAAGAATCAAAAATTTTGTACGCCCAAGTATGATAGACATTTTTTTTCTTATATTATATATTGTTTATAAATGAATTATATTTTTATAAATCATATGATTTGAGTCATACGTTTTTGAGAAAAATACACCGAAGTAATTTCAAAATTTCCAAATTACATTTCTCGACTGAAAAATAAGATATCCGAGCTAACTCGACGGCACACGGTGTGCTTTTTTAACACTTCATGCGAATTAATCGTAGCGCTTTCGACAGAAGCAATAATTTAATATGAAATAAAATGGCTTTGAAAGCTAATGTAATTGCCTTTCACGGAAAAAGATAGCCACTGACCAACAATTACTCCTTGGCCTTAAAAAAATTGGTCAAAAATAGTGTTCTTCGAAAAAGACATGCAAAATTCAACGGATATATTCCAAAAAAACACTTTTTTTGTATTTTATATTATTCTAATATTATAGATTTTGAGACGAGAAACACGATTCCACTGTTTAAAAAACGGAAAAAAAATCAACCTCTCATTTGAAAAATGCATTATATATTGCGTTTTTTATGATTTGCATGCAGCTGTGCATCCTTCACACAATTTTATATCCCTCGAAGAATAAGTGCATCTTAGTGCAATTCAAGACCTTTAATTTGATTCGACATTTTTTCTAATTTCGGAGTACAAACTAGTACAGCAGTTTCGAAGTTTGGTTTAAAATTGTTATAACTTGGCTCTCAGAGGGCCTAGAGACTTCTACCATCGCTCAAATTAAAGGTGTTGAATTGCATTAAAACGCACTTATTGATAGCTATCGATCCCTGTGTCACATAACGGAAGACAAAACGGCTAAAATCCGGCCGGATTCCGGATTTCGATTATAGACGATACAAATTTTTTTTTTGTATTGTTATGTTCAAATTTAATAGGCCGTATTATAGGGCAACAACCTATTTCTATCTTCAACATAAATGCTACCCGATGCACTAAGCAGAGATACTACAATGCCAGTGTAAACAAATTTGGAAATTTTTTGTGACAATTCTTCCAACTAAATTAAAAGATCTCCTTGTCTGGGTATAAGGGGTAGCTATACATCACTACAAAAACTGGAATCAGCATCAGAGTCGTTGGCGATTTCCTCAAAGCATTGTTATCCTGGTGAGTTCGCTTTCAATAGAAGCTATCACTAGAGTTTAGCATTTTTCATATCATTCAACAAGTTTCTCCATACTAACTGATTTATGTTTTCGAATTAGTAAATCATCAACCCAGTTTTTAGATTTTTTGATATCAGAAACAAAGGAGTTTTGAAACGTGGGTCACAAAAATTGCAACAAGGAAGCATTATGGGACGATTTGTAAGCATGCATAATAACACTAGTTTACAGTGATTTTGACCTGTGGCATTTGACTGTCGTTCCTTATGTAATACTTGTCGCTGAATCCGAATATGGAATCAGACGTTAAGGAAGTAGAACAGTTTTCGAGACATCAGGCATGTTCTGCAAATCGTACGATTTCAAATCGGTACGATTTGCAAAGTATTGTTTTATAGTTCCAAATTTTTCCCCTCTTTGTTATAAATCCTTCGAAACCGCACCGATTTGAAATCATACGATTTGCAGAACATGCCCGATTGCTAAATTTACGTTTTTCGAGTTTTGAAAAAAAAATAATTTTACTAAACTGCCATTCCGGCAGGTTCTGCAATTCACTTCGGAGTGAATTTGAGTCAAGTTTGCTTTGCACTCAAATGGGTCGGGGTTGAAATTCCGTCGGAAGTGAATTCCAGAACCTGCCCGATTATCTCCGGATTAGCCAATTTCGAAGCCCTTTTTGCGATATTGAAGATAATTAAATATCATATGAAACAGTGCTTGCAAAACTTTTCATTCAAACTGTCGTTTTCGGATAGGGTTGCCAGATTTTGAAACGGAGAAAGGAGTACATTCATATTTTCGATAGAAAAAAAGCAGTACAAGACATAAAAAAGGAGTACAATTTTTTTTTTTTAATTTTTGTGCAATTAATTGTTACAAATTACCATTAATTAGGTACGAACAAACAAAGATATCTTAGAAACCTTTTTCAAAGCAATAATAAATGTTAATAAAATAATGTAAAAAAATTTTTTTTTAAAACAACCTTTCACTTAACATGTACAATCAAAAGAATAAAATAAAGTATTGTAACAAAAGATTTTTTAGCAAGAAAATTTTGTAAAAACTGCACTAAAATTAATAAAACAAAAAAATTGAAGCTTTCTTTAAAGTTACTAAAAGCCAAATAGCGAAAGGAGTTACTCAAACTCTAATCAAAATTACTAACAATTTGTATTGATTTACTTCGGTTTTAAAAAAGTTTGTCGCGCGAATAGCGAACCGGCATTTACTTACATATCTTAATATGTACATATTAGTTGCGTTCCCCAACTTTTCTGGGTTAAAACCTGTGAAACTGTCAAAAGGCAAAAGAAGCCAGCGAACCGAGTACGGGAACGCTTTCTGGTAAATTCCTGTAAATTCTTGCAACTTCTTGCGAGTTAGGGAACGCAACTATTATGTATGTATGCAGATATGTAAATGTGGGTTCGCTTTTCGCGCGACAAACTTAAAAACGAAGTGAATCAGTACAAATTGTTAGTAATTTTCATTATAGTTTGAGTAACTCCTTTCACTATTTGGCTTTTAGTAACTTTAACGAAAGCTTAACTTATTTTATTTTATTAATTTTACGGCAGTTTTTACAAAATTTTCTTGCTAAAAAATCTTTTGTAACACTACTTTATTTTATTCTTGTGATTGTACATGTTAAATAAAAGCTTGTTTAAAAAAAAATATTTCTTTTTCATTATTTTATTTTGAACTTTTTGGTTTTATTTTATATAATCAGGACATAATATTTTTATTAAAGGCTGCCTCTTCATTTGTAAGCATAGTACATTTAATATAAGCTGCGTAAATCTTTTGGATCATCTGTCTAGGCTGAGCAAAACACGTTGAGTTCAGGTAGAGAAACAATTGTACGATGGAAAAAATGGCGGAAAGTTGGCAACTGTTGAATTGAGCGGAACTACTCAACTGTGCGTTTCTAGCACAAACAGTCAACGGTTAGACAATATGAACGCGACCAATGTGTCAGAATTAGGAGAGTAATCAGAAACAAATCGGTGTCTTATTTAATTTAAGCATTCAGCTCAAGTACAAACCACACACCCGGTAGGTGCTCTACAGAAATTCGTATAGAAATATCACAAGGTTAGCAGCTGATTCATTCAAACTAATTTCCCGGTATATTACCTTACCAAAGAATTCACAATAGAATCTATCATACCAGTGCCTAAAGCTATACTACTTAGGCAAATTACGCTCTGCTATCACTAGCAGTACTGAAAACGCTGTAAAGCGGCTGTTAAGCGAAGATCACACGATTTGTACATTTGTACGGATTTGTACATTTTGGCAGACACTTAGTGGTGTTGTTTAGAAATTTAAGTTCAGCTCAATAAAAGAATTTCCGAACAACATCACTCTGTACCTGCCAAAATCTACAAACCGAGTGATCCCTGCTTAAAGGCTCTGTTATGCATACTTGGCATTGCTTGAGAGTTGTCACATAAGGAATCTGTTAAATGAGCTTCGCGTGTAAGCGATTACCCAACGCACAGCATTACATACGTAAAAGTCTGTTGGTTTTTGATTTCTACGTAAAAATGGTATAGCAGTGCATGCAATGCCAAGTATGCATAACAGAGCCTTAAGATGAAGACAAACATAGGAAACTGTGAAAACGTTTAATATAAGTGCACAGCATACATTTTGGTTTATGTTTGTTCTGTATGTGGAGATTTTCGCAAATTATTTGGAAATTTATATAAGAAAATCATACCTGTTTTCCAACGAAGTAGTATTTATATCTAGTATTCCAAGGAAATATAGCATTCTGTGGAAACATATGTATGTAAGTTAACTACATATGTACAAACATATCGTCGATGTTTTTGCAAAACTGCCCATCGACCAGTTGTAAAACTGCCTAAATCTTCATTGTTGCAAAAATTAGATTTGGTAACCTTGAACTCCAGGTGACCAGTATTTTTTCCATAAGTATCATAAAATCGTTATTAAAACAACAGATTTGTAAAATAATAGCTAGAGAAAATACCGCCTATCAAGGCAATGCCTTCAAAGAAAAACAGTTTTTTCGCTCTCCTGTAAAATTTTAGTGCCGTAAGATACATAGGCGGGTTTGCAATTGGTCGATGGGCGGTTTTTCAAAAACTTCGACGATATGTATATCCAAACATATGAAAATATGTGCTCCTTTAAGATTAATGCATAGTAAATTGAAATTTTGTAACGTTGCTAGAGCACTTTTCAGATTTATGTCTTTAACACCACATTATTTGATTAAATTTTTTTTTACGTACAACGCTGAAACCGAATCCAAACGCACTACAGAGAGTTTCACGCTGTCAAACGACAAAAATGTCGGTGGGTTATTATTATGTAAGGGTTATTTTCGCCATCTGGTGGGTTATTAGAAGTATGTACACTTTTTAAATGCATGCATGTGCATTTTGCGTGCCTTTTACCGTATCTCGGTACTTCACTGTGTGAGGAAACCAAATCATGTTATTCTTAAAAATGTTAATTTAAGAGTTTGGCCATGCTAAACACAGCTGAAGCTAATTTCCGGTATTTTTCTTATAAGATACTTATTATTTAACAAATTTATAGCGTTTTAACGTTCTTTGACAAATTACGCTCTGTTAGCCATTAATTTTACTGTGTTTTGACCCTCTTTGTATCAAGACCCCTGGACCATCTAGGAAATTAATTTATATTTTATATTGCATTGTCATTGTGATTGGAACTATGCTGAAAATTTCAAGTCTCTAGCTTGTCGGAAAGTTAGTTTAAAGTCGATTGGAAATTTCCGCGGGATGACCAAGTTAAAAAAAGCTTGTAAAAAATAAAAGGGTTGGCTTTCCAATTTTTTTAAGATTTCTACTTAGTAAGGGTTATAATTCTTAAGCGCGGCCGTAGGCCGCCTATGCCGAGAGGAGTCAAGTGCAAAAATACTGTGGACGCAAGTGAAAATTGTGATTTTTGGCGATTTTTCTAAGGGATACCTAGGGACCAATTGGGCGCCTAGGTGGTCGGGGGTTGCATTTTTGTCAATGGCGATTCATGCCCTCTCCGAAAGGGGGGTTGGAGGTGCCACGCCCACTCCCCGTTCGCTCAGCGCCTCTTCAATGGCCGCCCTTGCCGCTTGCGCTTTTCTCCCAAACCCGCTGGTAAACCCAAATGAAGGTTAAAATTTAAAAACTAATTAATGTTTTTGCTATTTTTTTGGCCTTATAACAATTATATTCAACAATTTTATAATGAGCTCGAGGCCATTGTTTAAATGAAAATTTATTGTGGAAAAGCAACAATAATTTGAAAAAATGGTAGAAGTGATAGCTATTTCGGAAATCACCACATTTCCTCATCAGACTTCTTTCAGTAGGATTCGAACCGACGATCCCACTGACTCAGCCAGTTGCCTATGCACCGTGCTAAGTACGCCTTGTAAATTATCGTTTGCTTATTTCCACTATTTTCATTTTTGTTATGCCAACAAAATCAAGCGCAGCTATTCCGCTGCAATTGACTTGATCATGTGGTTGTTGGTTTGTTGGTTGGTTGTGCTAATAATTCTATTTTTTTAGAATGCTTAACTTTTAGGTGTGCTCGTCCTTAAGTTATTTGTTTTTTGTTATTTTTTGGCCTTTTAACAATTATATTCAACAATTTTATAATGAGCTCGAGATTTTTTTTTAATTTAAAATTCATTGTGGAAAAGCAACAATAATTTGAAAAAATGGTAGAAGTGATAGCTATTTCGGAAATCACCACATTTCCTCATCAGACTTCTTTCAGTAGGATTCGAACCGACGATCCCACTGACTCAGCCAGTTGCCTATGCACCGTGCTAAGTACGCCTTGTAAATTATCGTTTGCTTTTTTCCACTATTTTCATTTTTGTTATGCCAACACAATCAAGCGCAGCTATTCCGCTGCAATTCACTTGATCATGTGGTTGTTGGTATTGTTGGTTTTTGCTAATAATTCTATTTTTAGAATGTTTAACTTTTAGGTGTGCTCGTCCTTAAGTTATTTGTTTTTGTTATTTTTTGGCCTTATAACAATTATATTCAACAATTTTTATTGAGCTCGAGGCCTTTTTTTAATGAAAATTTATTGTGGAAAAGCAACAATAATTTGAAAAAATGGTAGAAGTGATAGCTATTTCGGAAATCACCACATTTCCTCATCAGACTTCTTTCAGTAGGCTTCGAACCGACGATCCCACTGACTCAGCCAGTTGCCTATGCACCGTGCTAAGTACGCCTTGTAAATCATCGTTTGCTTTCTTTTCACTATTTTCATTTTTGTTATGCCACCAATATCAAGCGCAACTATTCCGCTGCAATTCACTTGATCATGTGGTTGTTGGT